AAAAAAAAAACTAGCATCTGTCTTCAAAAGTTGGGTAACTTGGCCCAATGACTATGTACAGTACCTATTGATGAGGCAGAGTTCCAAACAATGACAAATACTGTTTCTGGCCTAATTACAATTCTGTTCCCCTAGAGTCCAAGGAAGTGGCTCTGCAACTTTAAGGCTCCTAAAGGTCCTCAACAGGAGATCCAAGTCTAACTCTGGGCCCGCCAGTGTGGGTATATTAGTTCTCATTTTAATGAGAATTACACTTTTTACTACCCTTTGGAACTGAATATGAGCCATGCTGCTGAATTAAACATAAAGAACAAAAATGATATGGCACAGGGTCAGGAATATAATTCAGTGGAAAGCACAAAGTCTCGAGTTCAACTCCCATACCAAAAAAAAAAAAAAAAAAAAAGGTACAGTAAGTCACCTTTTTGTCAACTTCACTGTCAGAATCGCTGCCTGAAGAGCTTGAAGAAACAAGTTCCTTTGATTTAGGCATTCTGAAAGAAAAATACATTATATACATAATTTGGAAGTTCTACCACCTTTAATTTAGCATTTGCCAATCCAAAGCTTAACAAGTTTTACAGTACTTACACAATTTTATAGTATTTGGTGTTACAAATAACATGCAATATGAAATTTTCTAAACCCAGTTAAAAATAAGTAAATGCCAGACACATACTCCTCACTTTCATCTTTCTCAAAGTCAACCAAGTCTTGTGCGATTTGGGTTTTCTTTTCTTTTTTTAAAAAACAAGGTCTCATTATGTGTTCAGACTGGCCTTGAACTCACTTTGTTGCCCAGGCTGGTCTCAAACCCAGAGTGATCCTTCCTCCTAGGCATGCTGGGATTATAGGCCTCTGTGACCTTGCCCAGCTTGTCCAATTCAATCTTTTTAACTCTTCATTTTAGAAGGGATAGAAATTTACAGTTAAAAGTAGATTTTAAGAAGGCAACTGATATTAACTACTGTTAAAACCAGACAACTTCTTGTACTCAGTACCGATTCACCCATCTAATGAAATTACACCTAACTCAGAATTATTCAAGAGAACACACCCCAATATTCACATGACAGTTTTACTAGGCAACCATGATATCAAATTAATTTTGCCATTTACCATCAGATCTTTTATCTGTTTTGTATATACTGACTTTCTTTAACCACACCATTAAAATAACAGGTCCCTAATCCAGATCACAAAATTATTCATACTTGGAAACATTTTACACGGATTTTCTATTCTGGAGTATAATAAAAATTTGATTTGTCTATAGGAAAGGCAAAAGCCCTCAGGTGCATGACCTAGTGATTTACTCACAAGTCAATCAATGCCCACTTTTGGGCCCCAGCGTTAAAAGAGAGCAGGCTATTTCAAAGCCTAAACTCTAAAATATGAAGTTAATTCCAAGACATGTAGGTACCTCTTTCCAAGGCACTTGGTAAAGCTAGATGATAAAAGTGTAATTATTGAAGTACCTTTTGCTCTCCACCTCTAGGCTAATCCTATTAATTTTTACATGCCCTTTCGGGCTTACCCAACACTCCATAAATACTGAATAAAAGAAAAATACTTCGACTTCACCTTACAAAATGAAAACTCATAATCAGCACTTTAAACTTGCATTACTACCACTGAATGAGGTCAATATAAAACAAGTGGGTCATCCCAATTCTGGCTCTTAAAAAAAAAAAAACTCAAACCATGGCCAACACAACCATGCTGGTTTTAACCGAAAATTTCTTGAAAGTGAAATTCATAGAAGCCAGTAAATTCATGGGAATCAGCAACGTTTCTAATTAATTTCACATATTTTCCTGTTACTGCTCCATTTTACAATCTCCAATTATCAACTTAGTTGTTTTCTAATGCTAACTGCTAATACAACCTCCTAAAATCCTTTTTTAAAAAACGTAATTAATTGGAACATAACCCATTTTTCACTTAGAAACAGTGTTAACTGTCTCACTGCTATTTGTTTATCAATAAAAGTATGGCAAAAAAAAAAAAAAAAAAAAGAGAGAGAGAGAGAAAGAAACAGTGTTAAATCAGCACCTGGCATAACCACCTTCCATGAATAAAAGTTGCCTGGAGGGCGAAAATCATTCCAAAGAACCCATAGTTAACCCAAATAGTCTTTTCCAGGGAAAAAGAAACAAAAAACAGGATACTGGTACCTAAAGCCAACATCTTTGCACTTCTTACAAAACGTATTTTTTAATTAATGAGATTTTTGCGTTTCAAAGGCTGGGAAAGGGGACACACTCCTAAGGCTAACCGAAAACGCTGTATTGCAGAACAGACTCAAAACGCAACTGGAGAAGAAAGAGGATCCTGGGCCTCGCCGACTCCGTCAGGAGAGGAGGGAGGGAGGGAGGGACAACACGAGGTGGGGAGGAGGGACCGCGCCGCAGGGACGCGCGACTCGGGACCACACGAGGGCGGCGGGCTCCGAGGCCGCAGCGGGAAGCCCCGGCCGACGGCGGCTCGGGTCTCGGAGGGGGCGTGAGAACGGCCGAGAGCGGGGCGAGCGCGTGGGGAGAGGAGGGCCGAGCCCGAGCGCCATTTTCTCCGCTCCCAGCCGGCCGGCCCGCACACAGCCATCTTCCGCAGCCCCCTTCCCCCGCGCCCAGCAGCACCCACCCCACGGGCGCGGGGCTCCGGGAGGGACACGCGCGCGCCCCCGCCCGGCCCGCGGCGGCCGCCGCATTGTCCCGAGGGCGCCCCTGCCCAGCCGCGCCCCGTCGCCTCCACGGGTTCCCAGAAACCCTGTCTACCACCGAGAGCCCGCGAAGCGCCGGGGGCGAGGTCGGGACCCGAGGGGAGCGGAGACGCCGAGGAGCAAGGGGGAGGCCGGGCAGAGTCGCCCCGGCCGCGGCCGCACACGCGTCCGGCGGACTGCGACAGCTGCCCGCCGGGCCAGGAGAGTGAGGGTCGGCCAAGCCGGACGGGGTGGGGGCAGGGGCCGCGCACTCACGCTCCGCTACTGCAGTGGACACTCTCCTGCTGGCTCGAGACTGACAGAGAACCGGAAGTGACGGCAGCTTAGAAACGCCGGCCCCGCCCCGCTGGTACCATGCGCACGTGATGGGGCGTGGTCTCCAGACCAGACCCTTTCCAAGGCCTTAAAGGGACCGCAGGTCTAGGCCTAAATGAATTCTATTGATTAGACCTGACCTGAGAGGGAATGAGGGTCCTAGTGAAAGACAAATGGCGAGCAAGCTTAGAGCTTTGCGCCTGTTCAATAAATGTTTGTCTATTGGTGTGAAGAGCCAAATTGAAAAAGATCCATCCGCTGGCCCGTTTTCCCAGAAATGAACCTCTCCTTCCCTCCCTTAGGGTCTCACTCTGTGATCCCAGCACTTTTGGAAGCTGGCACAGGAAGATCAGAAGTTCAAGCCCAGCCTGGGCAACCTTTCGACTTAGTGAGACCATGTCGCAAAAGTAAAATAAAATATAATGAAATAGGGCCAGGGATATAGCTCAGGGCAAAGGTCATGGGTTCAATTTTTCAGTACCACAAAGCAGGAGAGAACCAGGCCCAGTTGGACAGGCCCATGATCCCAGCACTCTGGGAGGCTGAAGCAGGAAGATCATAGGTTCTGTCCCACCCAGGGCAATTCAGTGAGTCCCTGTCTCAAAATGAAAAATGCTCTGAGTGTGTAGCTCTGTACTCAGTCCCTCAATTTAGCCCTCCAGAACCACAAAAGAATGAAAGAAAAGGGAGAGAAAGATAGAAAAAGAGAAATAGTGAAATTAAGTTATAGACAGATAGAATGCTCACAATAGCCCCTACTTCATCGTTGTAGCTTTGTAGCTTAGGCCTGTGATGGCAAACACCTTAGAGCTTTTGATGATAAACAGCTGGCTACAGCAGGCGTGCCTTACATTTGCTACCACTGGCAGAGTTTGCACACAGGAAAGCAGTTAGAATCGCGCTCATGTGGAAACTAGGAGAAGACGACCAAAGTCTCCTGGGACACAGCAGGGCCTGGGGCCGGGGTAGAATGCCCATTGCTCAAGATAGGGCTAATGTACTAGAATACTACAGGATACCAGGCTGCCTGGGCCCTGGTAGGATGGATGTGGTTCTGTTACCAGAATGTTAGTGTGCTGTCTCACAGTGACAAAGAATGAAACCACTGACAGGAAGTAAGATTTCTGTTACCCAGGAGGGGGTATTGAGTAGGATATCTACCAGAGCTCTGTGTCCAGGCTCTTTTAAGGTTTTTAGAAAGGTGCCCAAACATTGTGTAAGCCATATAATCTCTACCCTATAGAGACTACATGAGCTTTAGGGTCTCATCTATGTATGCAGGGTTCATGCAGGGCCCAGATGACCTTGAACCAGTGGCCTGTCTGATCATGCTCTGGGGAGGTCCCAGACAGCTGAATGCCCCAAAGCCTCCAAGGCTTATAGGCAGGGCACTTCAGAGGCCACTGGATCTAGGGTGTGTGACTGTGGATGAAAGGTATGTGATATCTGGACTAGTCCCTAGTTGGATTAGCATAATGCTGGGTGTGGATGAGTGGATCTGTGAAATTTTTATTCTTTTTTATTTTCTTTTCCTTTTTTTCATGTATTTAGTACAGGGTCTACGGGGTCTCACTACCCAGAGTAGACTCCGAGTGATCTTCCTCTTTTCATCCTCCTAAGCACCAGTCTCAATCCCAGTCTCAGTGCACCCTGGGGGCAAGCCCAGCATGGTATGCTAGGGGTTAAACCCTGATCCCTTCGTCTGCCCAAGCAGGTGCTTTAGTCTACCAAGCTATCTGGCCAGCCCTGTGAAATTTTTATTCTAATAAAATAAAGGAAGCCATGAAAATAAACACGGGGGGGGAAAGAAAAGGCCTTCTCTGACAACAGAAGTTTTCATTCAGGGTTTGTGTCCGAGAGAACTGGGCTCTATGCCCGCTGTAGATTTGAGTTTCAGTTCTCAGAGCCTCTGGAGGTGAAGAGCTGTTGAGGTACTGTATGCATTTTTAGAAGCAGAGAGACTTTATACTTTGCATGCAAATTTAGTTGACTTAATTTTCTTGGTGGTGACAGGCCATGAAACTGTCAGCAAATCCTTGATTCTAAGTAATAGCCATCAAATAAAAGTTCATGTAACTCAAAACAACAAAAAGTTCTTAAATTTAGGTGAAAGAGGAAATTTTTCAAAAGTTTAAACAAAATAAGGCAGCCATCATTTTCAAATAACGGGGGGGGGGGCACAATTCATATACATTTGTATGGGGTGTATGGGGTGGGGCATAGCTCCTTTCATACAAAAATTCCTAGAAGGCATCTCCAGATCTTGTTCTTGAAGAAGTAGAATGTGTGTTAAAGCCTTGAAGCATGCTGGAAATATGACTAGAACTCAAAGGGTGAGGCACAAGGGTCACCATGAGTTCAAGGCCAACCGGAGATACATAGGAATATCCTATCTCAAAAAATAAGAACCACAAAGCTAAATAAGTGTACAAAATTTGGTAAGTTCATAGGTCTTCAGAAAGGTGGCTTTGGGACCGTGCGTAAAAGGAGAATTGGTGAGGAAACTAACTTGGTAACAGTGAAGGGACCAGAGTTTGAGAAGGGGGCAGTGAGGGAGAAAGCTCTACTGTGTGGTTTGAGAAGGTTATATGGTTCCCTGGCCGTGCCGCCCTGACCTCTGTACCCACTTGCCCTAGAATACCCACACAGTGGGTTATTATTCTGAATAGTCACCCAGGGTGGCTCTTGTTCCCAGAACTTCCTGTTTCCGACCCTTACTCACAACCTTCCTCCCTTTTCATCTGCTACCCCCCTTCCACAAATAAGACACTAGCAAAGAAAAGATTGGGGTCAGATGTGTGGCTTTGGACCTTTGGACTATTAGATTTGCAGATCTAAACTGATGTAAGATGATCTGTGATTAGTCTAACCAGTCCTTCCTGCCAGGAAGACCCTAAACTGTTGGGTGGGACAGTGCTGGGAGTTGAGTCCAGGAGACTGGGCACGTGCTAGGCGAGGGCTCCAGCTCCAAGCCACACCCAGCCCTCTTGAAGGAAAGAGAAAGGAGAATCCTCAGAGTGTGACCAGTTATTTTTCATCATCCAGCCGTGATGGAATTACAAGACACATGGGAGATCAGTAAAGCACACCTCAGGTGTGTCTCTAAGGGTGTTTCCAGAAATGATTAGCATACAAGATGGCAAACCAGAAGTGGGCCACACCATCCCATAGGGCAGAGTCCCTGATGGAGCAGAAGGAAGAAGCCCACCAGTTTGCACTCCTTCCCTCTCTCCTGCTCCCCGGCTGCTGGGATCTGAGCAACCCTCCTCTGCTGCATCCTCTCACCATGATGTTCCACCCCAGCACAGTGACAGGGAGTCAGCTGATAATGGACCGGAACCTCTGAAACTGGAAGCCCAATGAATGCCTCCTCTTTAAATTGACATCCTCGGTGTCTTCCCACAGCAACCGCAGGCTGACATACCTAGTCTTTGAGGAGGAGCTCTGCTCCCTCTGCCAGAGCAGCCCCTGGGAACAAAGAAACCATCAGTCCTCAGGAGAAGAGGGAGTGTAGAGGAAAGAGCCTCCCCTGGCCCATTAGTTCTTTTCTGGGCTCTTTGGCTGAATCTACAAACCCAACACACTCAAGATCTGGTTAACAAGAGAAAAGGCATTACTGTTTTATGAAATTTACATGTACATGGGGATCTACACAGGAAAGTAAAGAAATGACCAAAGCGTGATACTTTCCTACATTTTAGACAAAGAACAATAAATTTGTGAAGGAGCCAGGCATGGAAGCGCATGTCTGGAACCCTAGTACTCAGGAGGCTGAGGCAGGGCAGTCGTTGTGAGTTTGAGACCTGCCTGGGCTACAAAGTGAACAGCCTGAACTGCACAGCAAGACCCTATCTCAAAAAGCCAAAAATAAATACATTTGTGAAGGAATAGCAGGACAAATGGATAGCTGGGATAAGGTAGTTCTCTTAATTACTTTCTCATTGCTGAGGCAAAATACCCAACACCAAAAGTTAGAGGAAAGTTTATTTTTGAGATGGGTCCTTAGTATGCAGCCTTAGGTTGTCCTCCAGCTCACTGCAACCCTCCTGCCTCAGCCTCCAAAGTACTGGGATTACAGCCGTGTACCAGTAGAAAATGAGAGGAATGTCATTAGGCTATATGGGGTACAGAGATATAAAAGCTAGTGAATGATTAGAGTAGCCTTAAAGAATTTGTTTATTGAGGTTTATTACAGCCCCCATTACTAGTGTCTGATGATCAAGGGTTTCTTCAGGCCTTGGTATATGAAATAATCCTTATGGCTTGCTACATGCCTGCCAGGGAAAGCCAGGCCAAATGGTCCTTCTGAATTTGTAGTTCCTCAAGTGATTTCAGCTTACCATCTTCAGTGTGCCTCTTAGGTCAGTCATCGTTGGAGATGGCGCATCCTTGCCTTCTTCGGATCCAAGGGCAAAGCAAGCTAGTACTTTGCTTTCTGGGTGTCAAGCATTCAGAGGGCCTCTGCACCCTGCAGGCTGTGAGCGGTGATGGTGGTGATATCTGTGTCGTGCATCACACAAACCTCAAGCACGGACCGAGGCAGCCTCACTGAATCCCAGAACATCAGGGTGCTGCAGAGCCCAACAGAATGTCTTTCTCTTTGCCAGGGAGTGGAACAAATGTCTCTCTGACAGCCAGTGATCTGGAGAAAACTTGCTGTCAGGACAAGATCTTCCCTTGGAAAGAGAAGATAGAATAAGGGCATCTCAACACATAGTGTGAAAAGGTAAGACCAGGCATGACGAATTAAGCTAAAGGGAAAATAGGCTAGACCCCATCATCCTTCTCGGCTCTCTTGCAAACATGAACCCCATCCCGACACGACCCAAGATTTAGAAGGGGAAAAAGAAGAAAGAGGAGGAATCATGGGTTTGATCTGAAATTGGCTAAGGGCCAGCGAGATAGCTCAGCAGACTAAAGCACCTGCTTAGGCAAGCTTAGGCAAATACAAGGACGGTGGTTCGATCCCTGGCGC